GGAAGATTTGAGAACATTCATGTACCTGGTCAGTATCATCGATCAACAAGGAGAGTCTTATGCAGACGTAAAACCAATGATTAGAAAAGCAAGGAGAGCATTCTCCAGTTGAAGAACGTATGGAACTCAAAGCAACTGTCAACCAATATCAAAGTGAGAATGTTTAATAGGAACGTCATGACAGTTTTACTATACGGAGCTGAGACGTGAAGATCTACCACAACCATCATCAAAAATGTACCAGTATCTATAAAAAATTATCAACACATGATACCGAATACTATCAGGAACAGCCTACTGTGGGAGAGAACAAACCAGCTTCCAAATGAGGAGGAAATTAGGAAAAGATGTTGGAAGTGGACTGGACAAACATTAGGGAAATCACCAAATTTCATCACAAGACAAGCGCTAACTTGTAATCCTGGATGGAAACAGAAAAGTGGAAGTCTGAAGAACACAGTGCGCCAAGAATCGGAACAGATATGAAAAGGATGAATAGCAACTGGAAAGAACTTGACAGAATTGTTCATGACAGGGTTGAATAGAGAGCGCTGGTGAGTGGCCCATGCTCCTCCATGAAGAGTAACTGGACTAAGCAAGCTCACTACGTAATAATTAGTAAGCTTATCATTTTCGGTTTCTTAACGTAAGAAGTTAAGAATTACTTTAGTGACAAACGTTTTTACCAACTAATAAACTCGTTTAGTGGAAGGTTTTTAACCTGTTGTCATATTATCATTATGTGACTTGATGTTTTATAAACTAAAGAAGACATTCAAAGAGCATTGATTATCTGGTTAGACTTAAAGTCGTTCTGTCAAAAGTAGCACTGGGCTTAAATGCATATCTATAAACACATATGAATCTTATTAGAATGAGGGTTTATGAATATATGACGGTTATAAACCTGTTTGTGAGGAATTAGAATTCTCATTTACAATTGATGATTAAGGTTAGCAATTAGATTAAGAGTTTTCATCACGAATTGACATTAGCTAAAATGCCAAAACTCTATTTGGCTAAATGGAGGAGTAAATTTCGCGCAAATGTTCGAAACCTGTCATCCTGAATCTGATTGGTTCATCTATAAATTATAGTCACGTCACAGAGTCATTTACAATTTTGAAATAATAAATTCTGAACATGAATTAATCTACATTTATTTCATCTGAAGGAAAACACGGAATACAATGGACAGCTCAGAATCAATTAGACGATTTGGACTTCGCAGATGACCTAGCCCTCCTATCACGTACACACGAATAGATGCAGATGAAGACAGCCAGTGTAGCAGCAGTCTCTGCATCAGTAGGCCTCAGCATACACAAAGGGAAAACTAAGGTCCTCAAATTCAAAGCGGAGAACAGCAATCCAATCACACTTGATGTCGAAACTCTGGAAGATGTAGAGTCCTTCGCATACCTAGGAAGCATCATCGATGAACAAGGAGGTTCAGATGCAGACGTAAAGGCGAGGATTGGCAAAGCAAGGACAGCATTCCTACAACTGAACAACATATCGAACTCAAAACAACTCTCAACCAATATCAAAGTCACAATCTTCAATACGAACGTCAAGGCAGTTCTACTGTATGGAGCTGAAACTTGGAGAACTACAACAACCACAATCAAGAAAGTACAAGTATTTATAAATAGCTGTCTACGCAAGATACTCAGCATCCATTGGCCGGATACCATCAGCAATAGCCTTCTGTGGGAGAGAACAAGCGAACTTCCAGCTGAAGAAGAAATCAGGAAAAGACGATGGAAATGGATAGGACATACATTATGCAAATCATCAAACTACATCACGAGGCAAGCTCTAAACTTGGAATCCTGATTGGAAGCGGAAAAGAGGAAGGCCAAAGAACACATTACGTCTGGAAATAGAAGCAGATATGAAAAGGATGAATCACAACTGGAAGGAGCTGAAAAGGATTTGTTGGGACATGGTTGGATGGAGAATGCTTGTGAGCGGCCTATGCTCTTTCACGAGGAGTAACAGGCATAAGTAAATAAGTATTTCATGATCAGATAGATTAGTTTAATAATTTTCCTCTGAAATATTCTATACATTTTTAATGTTAAACCAAAGGTCATAGGTTCGAATCTCGTGAGCGGGATCATAGATATGCGCTACCACTGAGTAGTTTCATACTAAGACCAAACAGTTATCCAATACTTTCAGGTTGTCCATAGCAGTTTAGCTTTATTCAACTCATGAATTCAGTTATTATATAACAAAAATTTAAAAAGAAAATATCACATAAGTGTTCATACTTATTCGTTGACTGCTTGAATATCTAGCCTACCTGTTTTTGTTATATCCCAATGTAAATAATGAATGGTAACTTTTGGGATCCATTTATGGACGAATACTTTACGTATATTTTTATCATATAATTGTTAAATAACTAAACTACTCATATTCGTATTCCTCTTATTATGTGCTTTATTTTGACCCATGGAGTATTATTATACGATTTACCATTCTTGAGTTATGCCCAGTTTGTTAATCACTATCTCCCTTATTTACAGCCACATTTAGCTAACTCTTGTACAAATGTTGTTTCCTATTCTATAGTACGAAATGGTCTGTTCAGCTGGTATATAAATCGAGTGTGTTTGAAATATATGATTCATATCGCCGAGGCTGAGATTGGTGTTTTGTACTTAACTGGTTGAGCTAGCCAAGAAGCAGGACCATTAAGGACTCTAGACTGCTCCCACGGGTTTTGTATGTCATTGGTCCATCCGATAATTCACTTCTCTCTAATTGATAGTATCATCACGTTATACATTAACCAGGCCACAAGTTATAACAGTTTTATTATTATTAACTCTTCCTTTAGCTTTTCTAAGGTTACCGCCAGTCTTCTTAAACCCAGGTAAAGTAGAAGGGTTAAACATGTGGTCGGCAACCTGATCTCATAGAAAACAACCTTACTAAGAACAAAACACTAAACAGCAAAGTAGAAATGAAACAAGACTAATACAAATCTATGGAATATAATCACAGTTGAAATTGTTCATTTTATACACCTGTGTTTACTTGGCACCATATTGATGGATAATTCTAATATGAATAAAAGAAAGAAACGAATGATAAGTAAATTACAAATTATTGTCTTGAAACAAGTGTAAATTTATTCCGACAACATGTGTCTTTTTTGAATTACCATCTGTATATAATGTAACCATGTTATGTCGGTTACTATGCGAAAACCTATAGAACTTAATCTAGTTTCTGGATAGGATAATCTCTATTCATTCTATTTGAATCATGATATTCTAACCTTGTTTCTATATGAGTATATTTGTGTGTATACACTTCTTATCCTATTCATCAAATATCATCTGCAAATGATTTTTATGTGACTATATTTATTGATTAACGGTTGATTGAAGGGAGTTGATTCATTTATCTTCTCTATTGCAAGTCATTTATAGTTCACTCTTTTCTTTTTGCTTCTTCGACTTTGTTTCATCATCTTGATTATCAGTTCAAATCAATAACGAGTGCATGAAATATACATGGCGTGGCTCTAATTTATGGACAAGTCTATCAGAAGCGTTCGAAGGATTTCAAGGTCACAGAGCCAACTTCAGTGCTTAATGCTAACGTACGTTCTGTTCACAGGGAATTTTGTACAAAACGTGATAATTGAGCGGCTATAAAAAATAAAACGGCGAGACTATAATTTGTGGAGGCAACGATCAGGTATAAGATAACAGATTTCGGATTTTGGCACGAAAACCTTTCATCCATTTAGCTAAATAAATTTTTGGTATTATAGCTGACGTCAGTTCGCGATGAAAATCCCATATATAATTCCTAACTAAGGCAAATTACGACAATTATTGTGAACTGGATAATAAAAGTATCAGTACCACTGGCTGAAGTCAGGTACTACAATATATACGGATGTTTGGAGAGCGTAAAGACTCCTACATAGACTTGGTTATGTGCATCGTGTCGTTATCCACAATAGCATTTTGTGCACTCAACAACTGGAGTGCACACAAACACTATTGAAGCTACGTGGTCGAGGCTGAGTTTTTGCGACCTTATCATGGTTCCAGAGACGGACTATTCTGTAGCAATATGGATGATTTTCTCTACTGCATGCATTACGATTTTAGAACCTCCGAACATCTTTCTTACCTTGAAAAGTTTTTGAACCATAAAATCTATTCCCGTATTTGATTTATTTTAATTCCACTCTTCACTAAGATGATTGAAGTCGATGCATATATACAAGAACAGTCAAGATGTATATTTCAACAGTAATCATTAAATCATGATCATTTGTCTGATCTAATTGAAGTCAGATCTTAGGCCACACAAAAAATGTTGATCAATTGTGGTGTTTGAATGAACTGTCGATTCCTTTGTACTTTTTGAATACTTGATTTCGAATTCCAAATACAGTACATTCATTCGTGTTTATCTTCTACTTCTTGATTCAATGGCGTTATTTCTAGGATTCTTTGTTCGTACTATAACTCAAATACTCCTGATTATCATATCAATCTAATGTCTAGTTTTGAAATTGTGGTGAAGATTTTTAGCTCAGCTGGATGATTTTGATGGAGTTTTGTTCTCTGAGCTAGATGGTTTGGTTGTGAAATTTTCATAGTCCTTCTGAACAACATCATCAGTACAAACTTCAAATAGAAGTGAAGTATTCGAATCTCTCCATCTATGGTTCACAGCTTGTCTTATAAAACTCGTAGTTGATTGGTTCTTCTTGACCTTAAACAAGATAAGCTGTAAACCACATGTTGAGAAATTCGAACATTTCACTTCTATTTGAAGTTTGTACTGATAATGTTGTTCAAAAGAACGATGAAAGCTCCATCATCAAAACATCCAGCTCATACAACAAAACTCCATCAAAATCATTCACCTGAACTACAAACCTTATTCATTATTTTATTACCCATTTAGTGTGATTCATTTAAAATGTAAGTCATCATCAAAAGAAGATCTTCTGTTGTTGATTCTTTTCTTCTTTTTAAAAAAAAATAATAATCCAAAAGAAATAAAAATGTATTTGTACAATTCATGATAGGGTAAGGTCAATTATTCATAGAAAATGTATCAAATATAAAAGCAATTAAATACATCACTGAGCTTATTGTATTTAAAGGAAGTGATCATTATAAAGGAATCACATAGTAACAAAATATACTTTTTTTTACTGTTAATAATCAATAATTTCGTGAAGGGGTAGGGGGTAAGTAGCCTAGATTGAGGGACATAATCTCGTTGAGACTATAATTTATGAACAACCTTTCAGCGATACTAAATTAACCTTGAGAGTGTTCAACTAATAACCAGTATCAAATGAGGGTTATAAACTTGTTTGAGGAATTCGATTTAGAGTTTTCATTACGAACTGACATAAGCCAATTGAATGAATGAATTTCGTGTCAAAATCTGAGATCTGTAATCCTATACGTGAATGGTTCGTTCATAAATTAAAGTCTTGCCATAAATCTGATTTTGCTTTTTACAGTAGTTGTATAGATGCAACATTCAACAGAAGATTCATATTCTAATATTCAATAGGTTTCAAGGCATCATTTGTTTATATATTCATAAATGAATAGAATCTTAGATGAAATAAGAATGAAGAGAAATAACTGAAAAGTGTACATCATCAATGATAAACGGTGACATAACTACACACCCCGCAAAATAACAAAGTAAATCATTGCCATTTTAATGTATGAGCAAAGATGACAATGTTTAGTTATTTGTTTAATCAGACTAGGAGACAGTAGTTTGAAAGGTATTCTTATTATTACTGTGATTGTTGTCGGTTTCCAGTGTGGAAATATATTTACATTCTAATCAGACTAATCACACCTATTCTTGATCTGAGTTACATTGAAATCTTGTACAATAAACACTGGGAAAGAATCTACACAAAATACTTCGGATCCTTTGACCAGACACTGACAACAACAGTCTACTCTGATAAAGAACATATCAAATTCCAATGAAGAAAGAAATCAGTAAGAAGCGCTGGAAATGGATAGGACACACATTGAAGATAGCATCCAACTACGTCACAAGGCAAGCTCTAAATGCCAAAGGAGGAGAGAAAGACCAAAGAATACATTACACCAAGAAACCGAGACAAACATCAGAAGAATGAACAATAATTGAATAGAACTAGAAAAGAAGATTCAGGATAAAGTGAAGGCAACTTCAACCTCACCATGATAACATATTGATTATTTATTTTGGTTACTATGTTCTGGGAGAGAACAAACCAGCTTCCACCTGAAGAAGAAATTAGAAAAAGACGATGGAAATGAATAAGACATACATTACGTGAATCGTCAAACTGCATCACGAGGCATGCCCTAACTTGGAATCCTGAAGGGAAGCGGAAAAGAGGAAGGCCAAAGAACATATTACGTCCGGGAAATCGAAGCAGATATGAAAAGGATGAATAATGACTGGAAGGAGCTGGAGACGATTGACCAGGACAGGTTTGTATGGCGAATACTGATGAGCGGCCTATGCTCCTTGACGAGGAGTAACCGGCATAAGTAATTCAGTAAGTACTATGCAAAAGTTGGTTTAAATAATGGCATAATTAATAAGATTACAATGGTTGCTATCATAGCAATAAATAAAAATAACCAAAATAACATACGATCAACAATAACAGCTAATATACGCCATTCATTAATGATATCAATAATGGATTGTTCATGATATTGTTTATAATATAAATTAGATAAATAAATTTCTATAATTTTTTGTTGCTTTTCAGTTTTTTGTAAAATTTTTGATAATTTTGTTAATAAACATTGAAATTCTTTAGAATGATTTATACTACTGTGAGTAGTATGTTGATGTTTGTTAAAAGAATTCAGTAGTGTGACATCATCATCAGCATCATTATCTATGAGATCATCTGTAGATCTTGTATAATATGTACGATGATCATAAGACATTTCATATTGTTTATATTTAGTAATCATTTGTTGATTTAGATTCTTCTTCTTTATGGAAGTTGATTGTTGATCTTCTTCTTTATTAACTAATCGAACGACATGTACAGTTGGTTTAGGTTCATTAATTGAATGAATTCGGTTTAAATTAGGGGAACTCAATCGATTCATCATTATGGATTCATATTGTTCCTCATGATGATGATGTTGTTGTTCAATAAAATTTTCTTTATACTGTTTAGATGATACTTGTTTCTTTGTTTGTCTATTAGAAGTTAATACATCCGATGGTAAATAATGATTAGAAGAAGATAAATATTGATCATTCTGTTGTTGATCATTTTGAAGTTGATCTAAAATCAATTTTGTTTGTTTCGTTAACTTGATTGATTGATCCTGTTTCATTTGATATCGATAGACAATATTTAAACATAATAATTTTGCTATAAAATTAAAAAATATTTTTTTAATATATTTTGGTACAGGTTGACGATTAGATCCAGTATGATGGAGATGTAATACTAATACAGTTAATATAATTGATAATGATGTCATTGTCATGGTTACTGTAAGATAAACACCTGGAAAAAAAATCATGAATACAATATAGATGAACTACAGTATGATTTATAACTTCAAAATAACCAGCCCCTAAAATGTCTTGGTACGGTCGAAAGTGGGGAGAGTCAGCTCTCCAACTCTAAATGCTCTTACATGGCCACATGCATGTAACCACTGACAGGGAAATCCTACTCTCTGCATTCTCGAGGTATTATTGGTGTTTATGAAACTGAGAGGACGAATAGTGGATGTCTGGCGCTTTAACCCGGTTGGTGGATATGTAGGATCCACCTAAGGGATTTGAAAATCCTGATTCCAAACCAATGGTACACATGGGCTCCATTATCTTCAAGAAATAAATGGCGTATGAACCAATTATTAGTCACTGGATATCATGGGATGCAACTTCTGACAGTGCTCGACTGCCTTGTGGGTCAGATCTTTAGGTTGAATGCTCCGGTTGTGGATCCATAATGTAACCACCTACTTCTGTTTGGGCACTCGGGCAGTATCTCAGCCCTCACAAAAATTGAATGATTCATGTGGCGCATATCTATTTGGTACCTCTCAGTACCAATGCTTATGTGTTTAAATAAAAATCACATAATAATTGAAACAACCGATTGCGTCATAGAGAATTCAGTGAAGAAAGTTGTCTTTACAATGAAACCGTTTACTTATGCTGCACATTCATATTTATAGTTGTCTGAAAGATAAATGAGTAGGGGGATTTGTGTAGACTGTAATATTTTCACAGTTAAATTCATGAGTCTATTTAAGCTAAGAATGAAGGCATGAAAGTACTGGGCGACTGTTTTGTCCTAGCAGGAGACTCCTCAGAGTTGTCCAACACTAGACTAAAACCCAGTACCTTCACGTACGCGAATGCAGTTGCCAAAATAAATGAGTCTAAAGAAGAATAGAAGAGTCTATACCATAAAAAGGTTGGTTATTTCAAATATCAAAAGAATAAATTTGTGATACAATTTATTTTATCTTTTTTTTAGATTCATTTATCTTATGGAGTGCTGACTGATTTTGTTCCATGTTGAATGAAAGTATGATTTGGCTATGAATATAAATCTTTCATTTCACTCCGTATACTACACTATTCGTATGACGGCGATAATAAAAACCCAAATAGGGGTGGCTTTGAAGGGATTTATTTCATGTATTCGTTTACCCTAGCAGAGATTCAGAATAAGAACCGATAAAGTGAAGAGGAAATAGTGAAACTAACCGAGCCAGAGAAGACATGTGGGTCAACACCCATTCAACCAAGCATAAATCGATATTCATAGTCAAACAAGAATATGTTGCAGACACATCATGAATACGGTAACTAGTTCACATACATATGATCACATAAAAAACAATCAGGGTTAATAAACGAATTAGTGACAAAGTCAAAATGTGACTCAAAGTAGAATGAATAAATTGTCTTGTCCGGAAGCTAGGATAACCTATATGGGCTTGATTTAGTATCAGCCACTACAATCTATCAATGTAACTATAACTATTAATGTACAGCATTGGTGAAGTGATTTTGTCGTAAAGATGATTGGTGAAACTATACGTTATGGACGACCTTTGAGCGACACTAAAATAACTTTGAGAGTCCCAACCTGGTAACTAGATGAGGGTTATAAATCTGTGTGAGGAATTGGAATTATGATTTACAGTTGATTATTAAGATTAGAAATGAGATTCAAGGTTTTCATCACGAACTGATATCCATTATAATGCCCAAATGGTATTCAGCCAAATGGATGAATGAATTTTGCTCCAAAATCCGAGATCTGTTATCTTATACGCCTGATTGGTTCATCCACTAATTATAGTCTCGCCGTAAGAACTGGTTGCTAATTATAATTTTATTGTACAATTACTGAATAACTAGATCATTATGTATATGTATTCCAGTTTTCATAAGCTTTCAGTTAATCTATAAGCTACTGTCATATAACCTACTGTTCCTTATTTGTCTCTTCCATTCACAACCACATTTAGCTTGTTCATATATAATTGTGTGTGGCCTTATGTGTCTGTAAATAAATCACGTCTGATTGGAATATCAAATGGTGGAGGTTGGTTGCTAGTTTAGGACTCAAAGCTGGGTATAGAAACAAGTTTGAAAATAATGGACTGATAAGAGCTTAAGTGTCGGCTTAACATCAATGCTTTCGGTCGACGACGGAACTGGCAATGTCAAAGACGCTAAGCTATATACTAAATGGTAGATCTAGTTAGAATCAAGATTCTGATTCGTTAGCTGAGATGTTATATTGGTCTACTTGTCGACAGGACATAACAATTTGAGATCCTGAGAAACGATCCACGTTCTCACATAGTTGTATATATCATCAAGATAAAGAGAACAACATTTAACCGTTGTTCCAGAGGATTAAGTACTAACTTCATCCTACTACTAATACAAATTTTAATACTAGAAATCGTTTAAATTCATTCTTGAAAGATCAAGATTCAGTTTTCAAACTCTAGTGGTTCACATTCAAACCGTAGTATTTTACAAGGAGGGGCTTTTGTTCAGTGGCAAATTGGTCTTATCCAGAACTAAACAATATGTATTTCGAATCTCCAACTGTAAAGTGAAACATAAGATTCTCTTACGATATGACTGTAAGAATAAACACATAATAACTATACAAAGTATCAGATAACATACGTCAGAGCTTTAAATGACACTACTTAAGATTAATCAACTAATGGATGTTCTTGAATGGTCATTTCATTTTGTATCGAACAATTCGATTGATCTTACGGAGTAAGTTATATTGGTTGAATTTCTAGGCATTCACATTTTCATGTTCGTAAGTAGCTCTCAACGTTGCTAAGCAAAGGTGGAGTTAAGAAAGTGTACAGCTCGATATTGACTCATTCGTTGCAAACTGAATAAAAAGCCGGTTATTATTTATCAGATCAATGATTCTTGCCAGAGTCTGTTAGACTCGAATTCCTTCAAATGGCAAAATCAATAACCAGTTCTATATGCAAAAGCAATATGTTCGACTCCTTCTGTTACCTTGACCAACTTCAAGGCTTATTAATAAATAGTAAACATAATTATAGAATGACCTAATTTGACAAGTGTATTGTCAACCTTTCTTTGTTAAATATAATTTTAATTTAATAGCTGAATTCATGAGTCAATTAAAGCTAGACCACCATGGAAAACCTGGAAGTACTGGACGGCCATTTCTTCCTGGTATGGGACCCCTCAGCAGTGATCATTCACGACCCCCCTGGTTGGATTCGAACCCCGGACCTCCAGTCTCGCATGCGAACACTTAACTATTTAACATAGTCTTCTATTAAACACTTGATGGAATTCTAACTTGTACTATTATTTCTCTCACTTTATCTGATCCATATTTGTTCTGAACGATGTAATTTACCTTAAACTTAGCCATTATTGGATTATTAATTTGAATATGTAATAGGAGAACTTGAAGAGATTTTATTGAAATGAATATTCTTCAATCAAATATTGATGTTTTGTCAGATATTTCCTAGTCTCATTTGAGTTACTGATAATTTTATTAAGTAGTATAAATATTTATTCGTCATTTTTAGTTTGAATTCTTCATGATTAAATCAAGGTTCGACATTAACATTCTTGGATGCCGTTCATACATGAGACTGAAGGCTCTGGTTTCGAATCCCACGAGCAGGATTGTGAATTCACACTGCTGATTAGTCCCAGAATAGAACGAAACGGCCGTCCAATACTTTCAAGTTTTCAATGATCGTCTAACATTAATCAGTTCAAGATCTCAATAGAAAAAATAAATTTTTTAATAAAGTTAAAATTGTAATCAATTTCATGATTGATCACTTACCAATTAAAGGTACAAATTCACTTGTAGCTGGCATATTCTCTGCAATCAATAACATAAATACACTGAATGCTAATAATACAGTTATACCAAGTGTAATTTTTTCACCAGAATCAGGAGGTAACCAAAAACTAACTAAACTTAATACAGTTAACCATAAACATGGAAAAATGATATTAAATAAATAATAAAGTGTACGTCGACGCATATAAATTGTAAATCGTAAATCAGGATATGGTTCATTACAGCATGGATAAAATATCTATATAGAAATATAGAAATAGAAATAAGGTAACATTTAATGAGTGATCATAGATCATAATGAAGTATCATTACCAATATACATTGATAATGATTCATGAAATGATAGATTTATATTGATTGAATTCGATTTTAAATCAGTTGATTGATATAGAAACTAATTTTATCACCATAGTAACTAACTAAGAATTGTGAAACACAAAGGATTGTGTTATCATTTGTCGTTTGAATGCTTATTGTCTTGGCTCTTCTAATGCTACTTTTCGTATTTGGTCCTCACTGATTGGTTGTATCGGAAACGCTTATCACTAATACTCGAAACATGGGATCTCTTCAATTCCCATGACGCGAAAGTGAGAACACAAAGACTGGTGTTAATGAAGATTTATTAACCCCAAAACACGACGACGACGACGACCAGAAAAGAAAACAAATACTACATTGAGTAATCATTACATTGAATTAGAACCGAAGTAATCTTGAACAAAACTCATAATGAGTAAATCAATCGTAAATTGACTTTTCTTTCTATCATATCACATTGAGTCAGAAAGTCATCCAGATTGGTAATACTTCACTATGATGGATTTACATTTATTTCTATGATGGGATTATAGATTTCCTTATCATGATCATAACTCGAATGTTCTGAATGTTCTGAATGACCACATATTTTATCCGTTCTTAATCTGTCATTTACTTTCTCTCTAACAAGAGTCTAATTTACCTACTTACTTACTTAATTATGCTTGTTACTGTCAATGGAGCATAGACCGCCGATTAGCATTCTCCAACACACAATGTCATGAACCTTCCTTTCTAGTTCTAACCAATTTTTGTTCATTCTTATCATATCTGTCTCCATTTCTCAGAGTAATGTGTTCTTTGATCTTCCTCTTCTCCTTTGGCCTTGAGGATTCCATGTGATGAGGAATTGCCCTGTGTCCTATCCACTTCCAGCGCTTCTTCTTGATTTCTTCCTCCACTGGGATTTGGTTTCTTCTCTCCCACAGTAGGTTGTTGCTGATAGTGTCTAGCCAACGGATCCGAAGTACTTTGCACAGACAACTGTTAAGAAACACTTGTATCTTCTAGATGATGACTTCCGTAGTCCTCTAAGTTTCATCTCCATACAGTGGAAATGTGTTGACATTTTGTGTTGAAAATTCCGACTTTGATGTTGGTTGACATACAGTTGTTTTGAGTTGTAGATGGTCTTCAATTGTAGATATGCTGCTCTTGATTTGCCGATCCACGCCTTAAACATCTAATTTACAAATACTTTATTCTATGCAAAAATATACCCAATATAGAATTTTTTAAACAATCCTTTGTGTTGTTTAAAGATCCTCCTCATACTATAAGACTTATCTATGAGGGAAGGATATTCTGTTCGATAAATTCTCTTCAGGTTCAATAAATGTATATCCAAATTAATAATCCAAAATGTGGTCAAGTTAAGGGCGAAGTACATCGTTTAAAGCGTATGAATTCAGGATTGTCAAACAAAGCAAAGGTTTGATAAAGAAAGTTAATAGCTCGATATTAGCCCATTTAGAGCAAACTGGTCATTGTGCCAGTATAAACCAATCCATTTCAATTATTTATCGGGTTCGTAATTTTTTGCCAAACCTCATCAGAATTAAAGTCTTTCAAACGGCCGAAATAGGTAGTAGCCATCTGGATGAAGAAAGCTGAGCTATGCGTACAAAAGGAATAGCTTCAATCACTCCTCCCCTGGCCAACCTCAAGGCCAATTAATCAATGGTAATCTTAGCTATCGAATGACTTAATTTGACTATTGTAGTTATAACCTTTCATAGTCAAATGTAATTGTCTCTGTTATCTCGATTCACAAATCTTTGCATCATGATTATTATTACTATTGGTTAGACATCGTTATTAATCTCCCCAATACATGATTCTTCTACCTTTCACTCATCCCGCCTTATTATATCTTTGTAATAATTTTTTATCATAAAGGATTTTGTGGAGATTTTAGTAATTTAATGGTTGCATTCACGAGTCAGTTGAACCTGAAACCATTGGACGGTCGTTCCATCCTATTATGGAACTCCTCAATGGTAGTGCGAATCCACGAACGCGCTCCGCGAGATTCGAACCTTGAACTTATCAGTCATGAGCGCGAACACTTAACCTTTAGACCACTAAGCCGGCATACATAGTGGTCTAGCTTCAATTGACTCATGAATTTATTTGTTAAATTACTACAATCTCCACAAAACCCATCTCTGAATATAAAATAACGTTTAATGGCTCGAGATCTGAACCGAGTTAGATAGTATGATTGATTGTCATCGAACTAGACATATCGTCAATCCTCTTACATTATGATCGACTTAATCAACATTAGTGAATAATGGAATTAAATAAGTCAAATATGAGAATGAATTTCGTATATGTATATTTTATACAATCGTTGATCCAGACTCACTGACTCACTCACTCGCTTACTCTTCGGCACTCGTACATCATTCTTGCTTCCTGTATCTGTGATTTCCGTGATCTGTTTGTGATGAGATAATAAACGTAATCAACGCTTCGTATCCATCTTCTGACTTAGACATTTATTTATTTGTTCATTTATTTAAACACATAAACATTAGGACAAAGGGGCACCGAATGGTAATGCGCCATATAAATCATTCGATTTATGTGAGGGCTGGGATACTCTCCGGGTGAGCAAACCGAAGCAGGAGCTCTTCTTATGGGACCACACCCACACTTCAATCCAACCACAATACTAAATTAGACAGTTATGATCACAAGGAAAATGAAAACCCTATTTTTATTAAATCAGCTCACTAACTTACATATGAAAGCTTGATGGTACTTTATTAACACCAATGAGATTTTTGGGAGGGAGGAGTATAGCTTTTAAACTTGAAGTGGTTAAAACGTTGAAAATAAAGGATCAACATAAATATGTATTAGATTCTTTCTTGAATCTTCACAAAACTAGATCAGTCAACCGGTAGTATCGGTTACTATGTGAAGTCCATATACCTTATTCTAGCTTCTGGGCAGGCAAATTTATTCATTCTTCTTGAGTCACGTTTTGACCTTGTTAATTATTTCCTTATCAACCTCGACTGCCTTTATATGAGCGTATGTGTATTCACTTCTTATCGTACTCATCACATGTCTGTAACGTATTTCAATGTGACTGTAATTATCGATTAACGCTTGATTGGCTCATACGTCTTCTCCACCGCGGATCATTTCGATTCGTCCTTCTGATTACCTATCCTGATCAGTGGATGTACAAAATATACGAGGATAGACGACGTATATATTTCAATAGCAATCATTCGTACGATCCAAATGGAGTCAGATCTCGAGTCATTAATAACCTATGCATTGACAAACATCAACGTAGAACCTGAATAACTAAATTTGATAGATGATCATAATATATTTCAATGTTATAATATATACATATATCGATCAAAATAGTACCATAGAACTCTATACCTCATGTCTTTCTACGACAACTTTAAGTAGATCCCATTCACCATTTTCAACATAATTCGATATATCTACTTCATCATGTCTAAAATAGAATATAAACAAAAAAGGAACAAGTAACAAATCTAATCTCTATTGAAAGAATAGAATCTCAATAAAGAATAACTCTTTTCATTCAGATGTATAGTTGTTGGGGAAGTTAGATACCCCAGAAACTCATATTTTGTAATTTTATCTTTGTGGAGCTTGTATGCAGATGTATCCTTGAGCATTTCTGACCACCCACCCACATAGTCGAATGACGAACTTATCGATTAAATGTTTAAAAAAACTTTCATGGCAATATCGATTATATACATTTTGTGTAAATACGCTTGATTTGTGTGCTTGATGAACCTGGTATCGTCTGATTGTCTGTAGAATACACTCACGACATCTTACCAAGACTTCTGGATTGAATTAGCTTATCGAGTCTCTAGTTGCTTGATTCTTCGTTCCGTTCCAAGTAAGACGAATCAGTAGTATCATTCAAGTTAACGAACACAACAATTTGGCGACGGGAATGGGATTCGAACCTACGCGGGAAAACCCCAATGGATTAGCGGTAGACATGTAATGATTAGGTTAATATGTCATAGATACTAAATACTCACTAATGTTTATTCCAGTTCTTATTGAATGATAATGATAATACGATAGTAATCTGTTTGTGATAATAATATGGAAAGATAATTGTCGAAATGAATCAAGATATGATTGTGTCTTACTTGAACACTGCTTGCTTACTTACATACCGACGCCAGTTACCACTCACCGATGAGCATAAGTCCCCTACCAGCATTCTTTATCCAACACTGTCGTGGGCAATCTCCTTCAGTTGTTATTCATCCTTTTTATGTTTTCTTTCAATTCTTGACATAGTGTGTTCTTTGGTTATCCTCTCTTACGTTTCCCTTCAGGATTACAAGTGAGTGCTTGCTTCATGATGCAGTGTGATGATTTCCACAATGTTTGTCCTATCCACTTTTATCGTCTCCTAATTTCCTCTTCATCGGGAAACTGGTTTGTTCTATTACACTGTAGACTGTTGCTGATAATATGCGGTTAACCGAAATTGAGTATCTTGTGTAGACAACTGGTGATAGTTGTAATAGTTCTCCAAGTTTCAGCTCCTTACAGTAGAACTGTCTTCTTGACTTTGATACTGGTTAGCAATTATTTTGAGTTCCATATGTTCTTCAAATGTGGGAAATTAGTCCTTGATTTGCCAATCGTCCTTTTTACGTCTACATCACATTCTCCTTGTTCATCGATTATGCTGACCGGGTACGTAAAATCCAACAACCACTTCAGCTGTTCACCATCAGTTTAATTTTTTTTGAAGATTTTGTCAATTGACTACAATGTCAGTTTTAGGAATTATTCACCATACTGTTGAACTTAAATTGTCGTCAATCAATATAGGTGAGGTTCGAAATCGCACAGCATTGACGATCGTACTAAATTTGACCGTAGATATTTGCAAATAAATTTTCAATCAAGAACTTATTCACAATTTGTATCTTCTCTATCCCGTCATATTCTTGATGGCGAAACTCTGGAAGATGTAGAGTCCTTCACATACCTAGGAAGCATCGTCGATGGACAAGGAGGTTCAGATGCAGACGTAAAGGCGAGGATCGGCAAAGCAAGGGTCGCATTCCTACAGTTGAAGAACATATGGAACTCAAAACAACTTTCAACCAATATCAAAGTGAGAATCTTCAATACGAACGTCAAGGCAGTTCTACTGTATGGAGCTGAAACTTGGAGAACTACAACAACCACAATCAAGAAAGTGCAAGTATTTATAAATAGTTGTCTACGCAGGATACTCAACATCCATTGGCCGGATACCATCAACAATAGCCTTTTGTGGGAGAGAACAAACCAACTTCTAGCTGAAGAAGAAATTAGGAAAAGACGATGGAAATGGATAGGACATACATTACACAAATCATCAAACTGCATCACGAGGCAAGCCCTGACTTGGAATCCTGATTGGAAGGGGAAAAGAGGAAGGCCAAAGAACACATTACGTCGGATAATAGAAGCAGATATGAAAAGGATGAATAGGAACTGGAAGGAGCTGGAAAGGATTGCCCAGGACAGGGTTGGATGGAGAATGCTGGTGAGCGGCCTATGTTCCTTCACGAGGAGTAACAGGAGTAAGTAAGTAAGTAAGTTTCCTTTCATATAGAATATAAACTCATATATTGTTATATCATTGAAAATGTGATTCCATATTGATGTCATTTGGTAATCTGAATGCCAGAACTTTAATGTCAATAGTAAGACTATAATTAATGAACGAACCAATCAGATTTACGATAACAGATCTTGGATTTTGGCGCGGAATTCACTCACTGATTTGGACAAATAGTGTTTTGGCATTTTAGCTGATGTTAGTTCTTGATGAAAATCCTAAATGTAAATCCTAACTCTTACCATCAACTGTAAATCATAATCCTGTAGTGACCTACTTTTATCAAGAGAACGCGATTGGTGTAATGGAAACAATTATTATTATAACCAATTGTACTACTGGGTTGTTTTACCGTACTTGTTTGTTTAAATGTACCAAAACACATACTTTCTTTTTTTTTATTGTGACCTTACACGAATTCGGTTACACTCGGTAACCACACTCGTAACTTGGCACGATCTCGGTATTCTTTCGATACTGCGAGATCGCCAACGAATACATCTCGACAACAGCCATCAACTGCCTTCTGAAATTTGGCTTACGGAGGATTTTATCAGTTAACTGGCACGTAATCTTCCAGTAGTGGTGATCATAGTCAACCGTGACTTGACTCCACACTACAATCCTTATTCTTTAAACCCTTATTTAGACTTAATAAGTGGATGGACATTCTGAACGTCATTTGAATGTCCCTCAAAGGTCGTCCATAAATTATAGTCTCATCCATATCAATAATGAAATCATATCATCAGTATAGGATTGTGGCGAATGTTAAGTTTTTAATAAAGATCATGAACTGATCAATGTTAGATCAGTATCGAATACCTGAAATTTATGTTATTAAGTGTTTTGACTTTATTCAGAATCTCAACCACATTGTCACTTCGTTCCATCGTTCAAATCTGACAATCTCATCAAAATTCAATGGAGCATATTTCCAACTTGAATAAACTTGTAATATAATCGGGGCAGGGGGGTGTTATTCAGTTGTATTGTTATGCAACAACAAGGTTTATACGCAACATTTTCCTTGTTGAGTAAATCACATTATATTTAGCACTTTCGAAAGGTTTCTCACTTAGCCATTAGACGAGTGTTACATATTAGAAAGTAATTCCCATTGGTGATCCCATTCTCAGCCTTTGACTTCATCATGTCCGTGTTGTTTTTTTTATTTATTATCCAGGATGTAAGGCTACGGTATACCAGGATGCTCACAACATAAACTAAAGTCTCACCGTTTCATGATGAGAAAAGTTTCATGTTTACTGATGAATTCGAGTAGTTGGCCAATCTTGGCCTGTGTAATCTAATTTGATCCATTCAAGCAATTAAAATTATCAGTTAGATGTTTGGTAAGACAACCATATCTTTTCTGTAGACAACTTTATGTTTACTTCAGAGATATACAGATAAACGAACAGATTTTTAAGAATCTGTAGTGACCTACTTTTATGAAGAGAACGCGATTGTTATAATGGAAACATTTATTATTATAACCAATTGTACCAGTGATTGTTTTTCTGTATTTGCTTGTTTAAGTGTACTAAAAACACACATTCTTCCGTTGTCTGTAACTTTGCACGAACTCACGTACGCTCAGTAGTCCCGCTTGTAAACACTTGCACGATCTTGGTATTCTTTCGATATCATGACATTGCCAACAAATTCATCTTACTACAACCTTCAATTGTCTTCTGACATCTGATCTACGGAGAGATTTAACCTAGTAACTGTGGCATAGTCTTCCTGTAGTGGTGATTATAGTCAACCGCGACTCGACGCCACACTACAAATCCTAATTAAAATTGAATCTAAACTGGTAGCTAGGATTTCATAGAGTAAGTTTCTACATTAGTTTACATTTTACTGCCCAGTTTTATAAAGTTAATCAAACAACTTTAAAATTACTTCATTAAAGCCAGACACTTTACCGAAAAAGAAAATCGATGTGTAAATTTCATATTTAAGATTTAGTTTTCAAGGTAACAGTCAAATTGAAAGTGAAGTCGAATATATATTGTTCAATATACTGTAAATTGTAAATTAACACCGTCGGATACCAGCTCAATGGTCAAGAGGTTAAGCGTTCGCGCGCGAGACTGATAGGTCCTGTGTTCGAATCTAGCTGGGTGGGATCGTGGATGCGCAATGTTGGGGAGTCACACAATGAGACGAAACGGCCGTCCAGTGATTTTAGGTTTTTCATGACGTTCTAGCTTCAACTATAAAATCCTAAAACCCTATGACCCACTGCTTAAGGTCATAAGTTTTACAAAGCACTAAACGGCTATCTAGATCTAGTTCGTTTCCATTAACACATAACTTAGTCTTAATTTACAATAAAGATTAATCTGACAAGCAGAGATGAATGGTGGCTAGCGTGGTTTCTAGGATGTGCTTTCATCCTTTCTGAGAATCGTTAGTTAGATGGTATTCATCCAATACTCAAACCCAGCACCGCTCGCTTCAAACACCATTGCATTAATTAGTTAGCTACTGAGTTCAAATAGCTACTGACGTATCCAACGTGGTGGACGCCTAATTTATTTTTATTGGTCAGTCTCATTTGGCTTGTGTGTATCTAGTAAGGATTGCCTTGATATTGCTGATAATTAAACTTAACTCCATTGAGCAAACTAGTGACTATCTGAACTCAGTAGCTAAGTGGATAATGGGATAGAGCTTGAAGCTAAAAGTATTGGGTTCGATTCTCGAAATAAATATTATCGATGTAATATATCCAATTTAAAATTCCCAAATAGGACGAAACGCGCCACTTGATTTCCACCTCAAACCATCTTCCATCTATGGATATAGTAAATTTTTGTGACTTAATGGTAATATCAAGGCGATCCACACAGAATGAATATATGCCAATGAAAGAATGATCGATTACAGTTTCATACATTAATAGGAAGTTCCAAATAACCAAAACAATGAACTAAGATTAACCTTAGATTTGAAACACCTTGTACAGTACATTGTGACTATTAAGTCGTTAAACAGATCAATTTTTAAAACAACAAATTTACAATCAGAAAGGGTTTTTGTGGAGATTTCAGTAATTTCAATTGTTGTATTTATGATTCGATTGAAGCTAAACCCCCATGGAAAGCCTGGAAGCACTGGACGGCCGTTTCGTTCTATTGTGGAACTTCTCAACAGTGCGCATCCACGATCCTACCTCCAGAGATCCCAACCCAAGTCATATGGTTCTCGCGCGCGAGCATTTAACCATCAGACTAATGAACCGGCACCCAATGGTGTTAATATCTAACATCAACCAATTCACGAAATTGGGCAACACATCCACCATTGTCATCAGTGAGTTACTATCTCACAACAGACCTGGTTGAACTCCACTGATCACTGCTTCTCGCTGCCAGTCACTGGTGAGCATATGTTGATTAATATCAGAAAGGGTTTTTGTGGATTTGATAGTAATTTCAATAGTTGAGAGCATCAGTCAATTGAAGTTAGACCACTATGTAAAGCATTGAACTACCGTTTCGTTACTAACCTTTTAATTACATTCACTTGCCAACCATCATATGTCCATGAACCAAATTTCATAGTACATGATTGATCATCAAATGGAAAATAGGTAATATCAATTTTACAAGTTGATCGTAATTTAGCTGGTGGTGGCCAAAATACATTTCCATTGAATTGTACCATTGCTTTACTTTGCATATAATCTGTTTTGTAATCATCTGCACTAAAATTATGAAAAAGAAAATGGTAAAACGTTTTGCAATATGGTTTGTTTTTTGAACTATATTAGAACTTATCAGTAAAGGGTTGTGGAGATTATTAAGTTTTTGATTGATATCATGAATCGATTGATGTTAGACCATCACAATTGAAAACCTGGAAGCACTGGATGGCCGTTTTGTCCTATTGTGGGACTCCTTAGCATTGAGCATAGTGAAAGCCAAGTTCCTTCGGAAGTCACGAGGCTGATACCCTTTTTGACAACCAGAGCAACCATTAATTTAGGTAAATGGAATACTACAGTTTATAAATACTGTCAGTGAGGATATTATAATTTAATGAATGCGTTTTGTATTTTTAACATAAAATAATGGAATGCTAGTAGATAGATGAACCTGCTATGACGATATATAGAAGTGATACTTGTTGAGATAAGATGGTTGTTGGAGGTAGTCAACAAAAAACCTTGGACCTCCAACCACCATCTTATCTCAACATAATGCACCCAATGTTGAGTCACCTAGACTAGTGGCCACATAACTTGATCGATAGGATTCAATCTGCACTAAGAAGGATCTGAAACACATGACATTGATCACCGCTTAATGATCAATCAATTGTAAAAGTCATACTTATTCACATGACTAGATCCTTAACGTGAACCGTCAAATGAACTTAGATCAAAGATAAGATAAATAGCCTGTAAACTATGCTCGTTTATCATTTTAAATGATATTTCAATACATGAATTATTAGCTAAAATTAGAGGATATTCATTTAGTACGTGATACATTCACTGACGATTTAAGATCTGATTGGGGTTTTTTCTAATTCTTATTTATCACACTAAATGAGATGGATGGTAGCTAGCAATGATATCCGCCATGAGCGTTTTGTCCTCTTCGGAACTCGTCACTATAATGCACCTGCATTTCACAGTCAACATTCACTTTAGGACTTGAACTTAGTGCTTTTTACCTCAAATACCATGAGGTTATTGGCGCGACTCTCATTTATGGACGACCGTTGAACGAATCTTAAGCGACTTTGAGAAATATTAGCCAATCAGCAAACAGTTAGTATACAGTAAAAATATGTTATACAAAGCGAAGGAAATAAAGTGGATATACTTCTTATACGTGGTTCAAAAACTCGTTAAGTTTAGAAAGAGGTTCAGAGGTTCTAAAATCGTAATGCATGAAGTAGATGAAATCATCCATACGGCTACAGAATAGTCGGCCTCTGGAGTCATTATAAAGTCTCAAAAACTCTTTCAGCCCCGACCATTATTGTTCAGGTGCACTCCAGTTGTTGAGTGCACAAAATGGTACTTGTAGATAACGACACGATGCACATAACCAAGCCTATGTAGGAGTCTTTACGCTCTCCAAACATCCGTATATATTGTAGTGCCTGGCTGCAGCCAGTGTTATTGGTGCTTTTATTACCCAGTTGGCAATAATTGTCGTAATTTGCCTTAGTTAGGAATTATATATGGGGTTTTCATCACGAACTGACATCAGCTATAATGCCAGAAATTTATTTAGCCGAATGGTTGACAGGCCCTCGTGTTAAAATCCGAGATCTATTTTCTTATACCTGATTGATTCGTTCACAAATTATAGTTTTATTTGTTATAGCCGCTCAATTATCACGTTCTGTATAAAAAACTCTGTGAACCGAACGTACGTTAGCGTTAAGAACTGAAGTTGGCGCCGTATCCTTGAAATCTCTAAAACGCCTCTTATTAGCTCGTCCATAAATTTGAGTCTCGCCGAGATGACTTTTCATTTATATACATTGATGATAGTCGTCATCCATATATGAGGATTGAAAGACAACATTGAGGTAATTCGTACAAAATGCATCAATACCAAGAAGAGACTAATCAGTTGTTCTTCTAAACAACCATGAAAAGTGATTTATATCTAGTTGTATTTCTGATGGATCTAGTTATTCAGTGCATTGTGTTTTCAATTAAAACCGAAATATCATCATCCATGTAGTTTTACAAATTGATCATTGATAAACTTTATGTCATTTATTTAATATTCATTATGTAATCAATTACCTATTATATAATACAATATCTGGTAACCATAATTTTTGACATGGAATTCTTATTCTTGAAAGATTATTATAATCTTGAGGATTCCATGTAAGTCTTTCATCAACCCATTCCTATGAGGAAAGAAAAGAATCAAACAAACAAACAAAGAATATATATATATATAATTGTTAGTATAGGGGTTGTGGAGATTATTAAGTTTTTGATTGAGATCATGAACCGATTGATGTTAGACCATCACAATTGAAAACCTGGAAGCACTGGACGACCGTTTCGTCCTATTGTGGGACTCCTCAGCAGTGCGCATCCACGATCCCGCGAGCGGGATTCGAACCCAGAGCCTTCGGTCTCGCTCACTAGTGACTAGCTTCGTGAGGGAATTCTAGTGAAAAGCCGTGACCAGTGGAGCTAATCCTTGTCGGGTAGAGACAGGTATCTACCTCAGTACAACGGAAGTTGGTTGCGCAATTTCGTGGATTGGTTGATGTTAGAAACTATCACCATTGGATGCCGGCTCACTGGTCCAGTTGGTTAAGCGTTCGCGTGCGAGACCGAAGGCCCTGGGTTCGAATTTCGCCAGCGGGATCGTGGACGCGCACTGCTGAGGAGTCCCACAATAGGACGAAACGACCGTCCAGTGCTTCCAGGTTTTCAAATGTGATGGTCTAACATCGATCGATTCATGATCTCAATCAAAAAATATATAATTGTACCTGAACTGTGTGGTAATGATTTCGTTCAGAAGAACAATGAAAGCTCTACGACCAAACTATCCAGAGGACAACACTCGATTAAAATCATTTGTTGATTGAATATTGTCTTTCATTAATACTAATCAATATGTACCTGATTCATATAAAGTAGATCCTTGAGTTTATTTTTTTCAGAAGTGTTTTTGAGAGAGAATAAACATTTTAGTGTTTGGGAGAACAAATCAAATCTTAGCAGAGGAAGAAATCAGAAAGAAGAGATAGAAGTAGATGGGATACATATTGAGGAAAGCATCCAACTGGGTCACATGTTATGTCTTTATGGCCCCTCTAGTTATCATGTAATCTGTTCGCCAATCAAAATACGACTTATTCGCTCTTATACTGTACTAAACCAATGACATCCGACCGGTCTGGTCACCCTAGCGTCTTATTGGTCCGTTGCTCGCCTAGCCCGTCCAGCTGAGTCCAGAATGCCCACAATAGCCTCCACTATGTGAATCATTTATTTCAGACATACTGGGTTTATATACCAAACAAACAGACTGCAACGCACCATAAAATAGGAAATAACATTCGTACAAATTATAGCTAATGGTGGCTATGTACGTGGGAGACAGTAATTAAGAAACTGAGTATAACTTAGGAACAGTAAATCGTTCAATAATAATCTACTGGTCAAAACGAACTTATAATAAGGGGAATATAGATATACATAATCTAGTTACTGAATAGTTATACAATAAGAATATATAGATAATATTAGTCCACTACTAGGTTTCAGACGTTACTCGTAATGTAATCTTCACTAGGATATAACAGACCAAGTTCTTATTAGCAGTCTTTTAGGAATCCTTAAATAATCGTTTCATTGATTAGTTACACTTACCAACATGATCATTTTGAAATCATATTGGAACTCTCTAATGGTCAAAGGGTTGTACTCAAGTCACTTTACATTATAATTACATTTGTTTCTTAGACGTTTATGTGTTTAAGTTGTCATTATCATTAAAGTAAAAGTCAATTGATCAACAAACTCAATGTACTACTCAAACGAAATTACTTTAACAATTTACTATTTATAAGATAATACAGAAGATTTGTAGCTGAAGACTTAAACAGAGATTGTGAAATACACCAATTTTCTGCAACCACGTTTACTGACTATCGTGATATTCTAATTGTAATATTCATCTTAAAATCGACTAGATAATATAAAAATTATTCATTCTGTGGTGTGTGCTACTGATATCGATAAATATAAGTAGTATATATCATCAATCGAAAGTGAAATACCTGGCAGCAGAAGGTTAAGAAGATTGAAGAAAAGAGAACGAGAACAAAGAATGATTGCTGTGAAAATGAAAGAACAATGGAGGCTGAGGCGATTGACTGATTTTGCATATGCGGTATTTACTGAATGGTTCTCAGATTTGACTAAGATGTTCTGCAATGTTGTGTTCGAATATATTCAGTTGTCCCTACTGGTGTTCTCGTTCACTGCAGTTCCTAGAAATGGCGCATAAAGTTGTTTGTATTGTAGAAATCCTGAAGATCAATTTGTTCTAGGACTTATCAAGTAACAACTTACTCATTAGTGTTATAACTATGTATGAGTAAAATGTTCTCATTAAAATTCTGATTGTTAATTGATTTCACTGCCGAAACAATATTAAGCTATGCAGTATAAATTTGTCAAGATCTATATTTTACTATCATGTATATCGCCTCCGAATGCTCTGGTACGGCCGAGGGTGGGGAAAGTCAGCTCTCTCTCTCGACCTACTCCCCCATCCACTGACAGGGACGTCCTAATCACTGCCTTCTCGTAGCATTATTGTTGTTTGCAAAATTGAAGGGAAGAAAAGCGAGTGTCCGGCACTTTGACTGGGTTGAAGGACACGGAGAGTCCACCGAGGAGAGTTGGAAAACCCTCATTCCAAGCCAATGGTGCATAGGACTTCAGGAACCTGAGGAAACAAATGGCGAATGAACCAATTATTGGTCGCCGGTTACCATGGGACTGCATCTACAGATGTTGCTCCGTTACCTTGTGGATCATTCCTTTAGGTCGAACGCTCCAGGTATGGGCCCACAAGAAAACCACGTTCTCCAGTTCAGGCACCTGGGTAGTATCATGACCCATACACATATCAAGTAACTTGCATGGCGCATATGTTGAGATTAGATGGTGATTGGAGGTAGTCAACAAGAAACCATGGACCCGGGTTTCGTGCTATTTGTCACTCGTCAGCAAGATGTACCTGTAATCTTGAGGGAACTGGTGCTTCCTGACAGTTCGGGCAACCGGATATCTTGACACATCGGATGACAGATTTACATACATCTGATTAACTAGTCCGATATAGGAAAAAGCTGAATTCCTGGATACCTGGATTCTTTGACTGACTACCATTAACTCTGCTTAATTTCATTTTTTACAATTAGAAAAAAGGAAAAGAAAACTAAAATATAACAGGAATTTACTGTCTACCTGTTCAATCCATACGTTTAATGTAAGTACTTGGTTTACTTCATCCTATAAAACAAAGAAACAAAAAGTAAACTTGATCCATAGTTACAATTATGAATAAAGATTTTTTTATACTTGAATTAATCACTAACATTGATAATAGAGAGAGACATGTAGCGGTAAATAAATCCCGAAAATCAGTACCTCTGTAAGCCTTCGATATTTGATGCTGACTATATTAGTTTTAATGGATTCACCTAGCTGAAGGCGCTCTGTCATGCGTCCATATCAGAACACGAATGAGTACACTGTGCTCAACTTCTCCTACAACTGATAATTAGTTTAGATCGTTCACTTCATAATATATCGATAGCCTATCAGATATATCTTTGAACTTCTTTGCTTTTGACTTTTGATTTCACTGAGTTGAAACGTTTCAATTATACAAGGGGTTACTTGTTAAGGTGTTGTCAAACTTCAAATACTTCTGGCATCTTCAGACATTTCAGTGAAAATTATCAATCAATAGAATAAGCAGTATCAGTAGTTATTTAACACTCTACCCAATAAATTGGTTTTAACTTAAATATTTAATAGTTGAATTCATAAGTCGATTAAAGCTAGACCATCATGAAAAACCTGAAAGAATTGGACGGCCGTTTCGTCCCAGTATGAAACTCAGCAGTAAGCATCTACGATCCCACGAACCCAGGACCTTCGGCTTCGCACTCGAACATTTAACCTCCAGACCACCGAGACGGGCACCAATGGTGTTAATGTCTAACTTTAACCAACCCATGAAATTGTGTCACGATTCACCATTGTCTTCAATGGGCAACTGCTTCACGACAGACACACTTGATCTTCACTGATCACAGCTTCTCACTAAATAATTATACAGAATTCTCACTCACTAATTGAATATGTTGTGCTCACTTTCAAATCAAAATACTATCAATTATGGTCACTCTGTCATAAGTCTCTTTGGTCTTTGCAGACATGTAATTGATATCAAATTCAACATATTTCCTCTAGCGTCAAGTTTATGACTGTCTGTACATATAAACCCCATATGCGAATCATTGTATACAGCTCATAATGAATTCTACTTGTATTCAACTTGTAATTTGAAATAAGTGTAGGCATGTAGTGTCAGTTACTATGTTAAGCTCATATACCTTGTTCTAACTTTCGGATGAGCCAATGTATTCATTCTCCTTAAGTAACCTTTTAACCATGTTAATTATTCACTTATCAACCCTTACTACTTTTATATGAGCGTATCTATGTGTGTACACTTCTTATCCTATTCATAACATATCTGTAGCTTATTTCTATGTGACTATCAATATTGATTAACGCTTGACTAAATAGAGTTGGCTCACTTGCCTTCTCCACTGCACAAAGCTGTAAATTGATCAGAGTTACATATATAAACCATTATAAGGCTGATGAATTATCTAGAGGGTAAACAGTCAAAACTCGAAATCTTGGGTTCGATCCCCTGTGATTAGGTCATAAATACTCACCACCGAAGAGTCCAATAGTTGAGCGAAGACGCTTTACAGTTATTTTTGGTTTTTAATAATTGTCTGACTAAAATCGATTCATGATATGGTTTGTCAAAAAGAAATAATCAGTTTACAATGCTGATCTCATTAAAATTCTTTTATCAATTCAAAATACTACTGATATAGTTGATAGTAAGTACCGAAGTAAAATAGAATAAACATAGGTCACAATGGATTGATCACTGGTTGGTGATCAATGTCATGCTTGTCTAGTCCTTATTAGTGCAGATCGAATGCTATCGATCATGTTGCAATGTGGCCAACAGTCTAGGTGACTCGACACTGCGGGCACTATGTATTGATATTTAGATGGTGGTTGGAGGTAGTCAACAGGAAACCCTGGACTCAGGCTTCGTGCTACTTGGCACTCGTCAGCAAGGTGTACCTGTAATGTTGAGGGAACTGGTGCTCTCTGGCGGATTCGATCTCGTGTCACCCAGCTTCACAGTCAGAGAAGTTACCACTGAGCTATCCGAGCCGTGACTAACCTCCTGTAGGACTGAGATGTAATCACAATTGATTGATCACTGGGTGGTGATCAATGTCATGCTTGTCTAGTCCTTAGGTGACTACCCTTTTTCTCATATTTTTCTTATTTCAACTGGAAACATAATTCAGTGTAGTCTGCGACAGTTAATGAACATTTTGCAAATGAAGTATTATAGTATGTTTTTTTTTCTGTTTTACTAAGTAACTATGTAATCTTGTAATAAATAAGATTCAGTTGTCCATACCTGTATTCTCCTTCACTTCATTTGTGCCAAATTTTACTCAACTCTTCAATCGAGTACTAATTGACAAGAAATTGTACTATTCCTTCATGATAAGTACCCGAGTAACTATAACTAGTAATCATAAGTAGCAAATTGTAATTTGTATAAGTTTTCCAAAAAAAATCTCACTAATGTTTCATGCTATACTACGGTTTAGTGCTCTCTATATAGAGTGATATGCTTATAATGTTACATAATCATCTATGTTTTAGACGTGGTAATATCATTTTTGTAGTTGAATTCGCGAGTCGATCTAAATTAGAACATCATTGAAGGAACTTTTCGTTCTAGTATGAGACTTATGCACATGGGACTCGAGCATAGAACCTTCAGATTCGGGCTCAAACGCTTAATCTCTAGACCAGTGGGCTGGTATCCAAATGTGTTAATGTCTAGCTTTAGTTATTATTGTTATTATTAATATTGGCTTTATTCAATATTATATTTTTGGTACAATATAAAATTCTCAGTACAATGTATTACAACAAGATTTTTTCTTATTTCTTGATCAATGTTGAGTGGTCGCCAGTCAGATATTAGTAGTTCAGGAATTGACATCCGAATAAGTCATCTTCTTTTCGATGCATATTACTAGCAACCACGAATTCTTTGATTAGGCTCTTTCGTAACTTGTACAGCGAAATGCAGTAAACATTTCACAAACTCAACTGAATAAGTTATGAGACTAATAGGCATCATGATATGTTAAAACAAACAAGAAAACAGATAACTTGTTGAAATATCTAGATAGCAGGAATAGGTAGCTCAGATATTCAAGCAGACCGACTCGGATCAATGCATGATTTTGAGTAACGCTTCATCCATCGTCTTAGGTGGATAACTATATCACACTCGACACAGATTCAGTCAGTCAGTAACAACGTAGAACTTCGTACGTACGTACATCAGTTTAAGTTGCCATACCACATTAACACATAGATGCAGTTGTCAATTCAGATTGGGCAGAATGGACTACACTATTCATGATTTCTCATCAGAACTTTAATACTTCCAGGTTTTAAATAGCAATCTAGCTTCGATTGACTTGTGAATTCAACTTTGAAAATAGCACAATCACCATTAATCCCCTAAATTTCTAGTATGAAAATATTTCAGCCAATCAGGGTGAAGTAATAGAATGTAAACAAATGAAATCAACCAATCAGAAAATAGGAAATACTTTTTCCATCATAACGATGAAAATAAATCACTAAGATTATTTTATTTACCTATTTATTTTAATACATAGATATTGGTACAAAAAGGTGCCAAATACATATGCGCCACACAAATCTCATTTGATATGTGTGAAAGTTGTGATACTGTCCGGATGCCCAAACCGAAACGAGTGGTTTTCTTAGGGGACCACACCCGGAACCTTCGACCGGAATGTCTGATCCACAAGATAGTGGAGCAATGTTAGAAGATGCAGTCCCATGGTATCCGATGACCAACGATTGGTTCCCCAGCCATTTGTTCCTTCAGGATACCGGAGTGAGGGTTTTCCAACTCTCCTAGTTGGACTCTCCATGTCCACCAACCCGGTTAAAGCGCCGGACGTTCGCTTTTTGTTGCTAATTTACTAGGAAGATTTAATCATCAAACATATCTGAATGTATTAAAATAATTATTCTGAGTTTATCTATAGTATTCATCATATACAGTAAAATGATATATAGGGACAGTTACTATGTTAAATCCATAGAATTTATCCTAGCTTCTGGAAAGGACAATTTATTCATTGTTCTTCAGTCACGTTTTCATCTTATCAATTATTTGCTTATCAACTTTGACTGTTCCTATATGAGCATATATATGTGTACACTTCTTATCCAATTTATCACATATCATCTGTAACTTATTTTTGTTTGACTATAAATATTGATTAGTGTTCGATTAACTCAAGTTGGTTCACGCACGTTCTCCACTGCACATCATTTCGCCTCATTTTCTTCGTTTTGTTTCCTCTGCTTCGTCCTTCTGATTGCCTGTTCAGATTAATGAGTGGACAAAAGATGTATTTGAATATTCACTCTTGTATTCGACTTATTCCATTCCGTTATTCGCAAATGCAATTGAAGTCGATGATTATATTCGAAGATTTACGACATGTTGTAAACTTCAATAACAAGCAGAAATGATACAAGAGAATTTCAAATACCTTAAATCTGTCCTCGGTTAAAACTGAAAAAATGAAATATAGAATACCAAGATTATTTAAGTTTCTGATCCTAATCCCAAGCACCTCCAGGTTGTATCTCCTCATTTCTGCAGCGATTTGGAAGACTCTACCGGTCTACCACATTGTACGAGTATTGCATGTACCTAAATAAATGGTTGCTCTGGTTGTCAGAAGAGGCATCGGCCTCGTGACTTCCGAAGGAACTCGGCTTTCATCTAAATGAAGACCTTCTGGCTCCCAGGGCAGAGTTTAAAAAGTTTGAATACTTTTTTTCTGGTTATCGTTTTTTTGGCGAGTTAGTTTTCTATGGGATGAAGTCGCTCACCCCATGTCCAACCCTCCTCCTTTATCCGGGCTTGGAACCGACAGTAGCCCTCGTAGGTACTCCAAGCAGAGTAAATACTGATTCAATGATGAATAAACCATAAAAATTGAGTGTAAGTTAGTTAAATTTATCAAGTTGATAAAGAAATAATTGACAAAACTATAATTTATGGACGAACCTATCAGATTAAGGATAGCAGGTCTTGAATTTCGGCG